CCCCAAAACCCCAAAACCCCATATTTTTACTGATTCTTGATTGAAATGCAATTCAAATTAATTAGAAATATAACTTAGTTTTGTGATACTTATATAATTATTGAGCGTATTCTTGTAAGTGATTTTTCAAAATAGGCTTGTGGGTTTTTGTTAGATGATTTATTAATCAGTAAATCTTTTTTTCCTAAACACATGTTCAACATCATTATCCACTTTTTACCCAGCCCAGTAGCTTACAGGGTGTACCCCAGAGTAACTGATATTGTTTTGAACCGGATAATCTTTATTATCAATAATTTAACTCCCAACCTTTAAATTTTTCATGGATATTTTGTTATTCTCTAAATTAAATTATGGTTACTGTCTTCCATCCTTCATTTAATCCGAATTAAAAAGTACTTTTATGGAGCTATTTTTATTTAGATTCTTTATCGATTGATTATAAATCAAAGCTTTAGACTAATTCTTTTAAATTTTGTCATCATAATCTTTGAAATTATCTTGCTTACTTGGCGACTACTAATCAACAAGACTTATTTACTAGTAATTTAGGTCAGCAATTGGTAAATTTAAATCTTCATTGCTATTATTGTCAACCAAGGACTCAGAGTTTCCAATATTTTACTGAATTACTGAAACAGAGTTATCAAACTTTTACTTTTGATAGGCATTCTTTGCTGAAACTAGATTTGGCAAAGGAGGATAGTTATATTCCTTTGACCTTTCATTTTCTCTTAAGTCTTTTGATCTAATATTATTGATTATTTTACTTTAGTTTAATTTTTCATCATATATTTGTTAGTAGGTACTCTTCCCTGTAGAATAGTCTTCATTCATCTGAGATTAAGATCTAATCTGAACCCTAGCTCCATTTGGAGTTCTATATTTTTATTCTGATCTTTCTAATATGCTTTTATTAATGGAGAATTAAGAGCTCTCCTCGTCAATTTAACTTAGAGAATTTTGTTTTGAATGAGAATAATTTTGACTTGCTTTACTATACCCAATACTATTCAATTTATTTGGATGATTCAGAAATTTCTAATCATAATCTTTCTTGATATACTTCCATCCATTTGGTGAGAATCTGCAAGGAGTGAGCATATAATCACCCTCATTATACATGCTTGAGGTATCATCATAAATCTTTTTCATGTCCTATTGCTTAAATTACTTATGGTCTATCAAATTTCTTTCAGTGGCTTTGGATAGAGAACTTAATCCATATATATCATACATACGTCTTTCTTTAACTTGATAGTAAGGGTTCATATTTCGTTATGATTTGACTTTTTCATTAATGATTTTTTGATGAGATTAATATTACTTTTTTTATTCAGTTTCGTATTGAGTTTTTTTATCTGATTACCAGCCTATTAAATTTTTCGGTTTGAGGTGCTCTTCTATTTAATAGTGCTCTAACTGCCAAGATCTGTTTATTTAAGGCTAAAGCTAACTCTTGAGTTATAGTGTCTCTTATTTAAGTTATTGCAATTCTGATTATTCATTTCAAGATAAATTTGGATTTTTTTCAATATTTTAAAGAGTGAATTGATCTGGTGATTAATTTCGCTAGATAGTTGGCAATATTGTGCTATCATTGAATTGATTTAAATTTACTTTTATTTAAATTTCATTAGCATTATCTTAAGTCCTTGCCTTTTTATGTTCCATTTATATAGTATTTCTAGAGGCAGGCTCAATTTGCAAAGGTATTGATTAGAAGTGTTTCATTTATATTAAAAATGGAGGAATGAAATGCTTTTAATTTTATTTTTAATGATATGCTTCAATAGGATTTACTTTATCCTCACGGGGTTTTGGGGTTTTGGGGTTTTGGGG